CGACGCAGGGGGGAGGAAAGAAAACAGCAAAGAAGGAAGGAGGGAGGGAATAAGACGCAAGCAAGCAGGAGGCGTCGGCAACATCATGTCGCGCGTGTCGCGTCTCCTGCCCGTGCTGGTGATGCTGGGCTTTCTTCTTTCTGGCTACGCCTACCACGTGGAGCGTCGCTTTGCCAGGGCCAAGGAGTTGGGCGAAGCCTACCGTGCCTACTGCGACGTCGGCGCATTCTCCTGCACGCGCGTCTTCTCCTCCGCGCAGGGCTCGCTGACGCAGTTCATTGGGCTGCCGCCCGTGTCCAACGCGGCGCTGGGGATGCTCTTCTACCTGCTGGAGCTCGCCGCCTGCCGCTCCCCGACGCTGATTTTCGTCATGAGCGCCGCAAGCTGCGTGGCCTCGCTGGGACTGTTTTTTCTCCTGACCGTCGTTCTGCGCGACCTATGCCTTGTGTGCTGCTCCACCTACGTGGTAAACGGCCTCACCTGCCTCGCTGCCTGGCGGTGGCGTAGGCAGACGACGACGGCTGCCCCAGACGCAAAGCAGAGACGCAACGAAAAAGAAAAGAAAAGAAAAACAGTGAAGTGAGGCGGTGATAATCGACGTGGACGTGTGAGGACGGTCCTGCGCCCCGCTTTGCCTCGTTATCATGCGCGCGTGCTTGCGTGAGTGTGTGGGTGTGTGCCTCAGGGGAGGAACTGAGGAGTGAAGGGGGTGAGAGGCGTTGCTGCATCGCTTTTCTCTCACTTTCTGGTTCTGGCCCACTACTTTTTTTTTTTTTCTTCTTTCCCGCACGTGCGTCCTCCCACCGCCCCCGCAATAGTGAAGGCGGGGCGGTTGCCTGTTTTTTTTTGTGTGTGTGTGTTGTTGTTGTTTTTCGCTGGTCCCTCGTCGCCCCGGCGTGTGGGGCAATGCTGTACCGTGCGTGCTGGCGGCGGCTGCCGCGCCGCGCCTCGGCCGGGGCCTGCGGCACATGGATGGCGTCGTGCCGCCCGTACAACACGGCACTGCCGTCAAAGAGTAAAAAGGCCGCCTCGGGCGGAGGCGTCTTCGCGCGTGCGCAGTCCGGCGTTCACATGTACGCCAACAAGGAGAATGCGTGGAGTGGGCACACCGACGACCGTTTTTACGGCGCCAAGCGGCTCCGGGAGTACTGGCGTCGGATGCTGAAGGATCGCGGGGTGCGGTATTACTTATTCGGCACCGTCGTCGTGATGGCCGCGGCGGGGGCAAAGCTGTGGCGGCTGCAGGAGCAGCAGAAGGAGGCGCTTGGGCTCCTCGGCCCCAAGAAGAAGGCGTACCGCAGCCGGCTGACGGTCGTGCTCGACGTCGACGAGACGATCGTGTCGTACGGTGACAAGGCCTTCCGCATGAAGGCCGGCATGGTGGTGCGGCCGTACCTGGCGGAGCTGCTCGACTACCTCGCCGCCATTGACGCGGAGGTGGTGCTGTGGTCGGGCTGCAGCGAGCGGTACATGCGGCAGGTGCTGAACGTGATTGACCCCGGCGGGATACGTGTGTCGCAGTACATTGTGCGCCACCGTGACTGGTTCACCCGGGACAACTACTACGAGAAGAACGTGCTCTGGCTGAAGCGCCCGCTGGAGGACACCCTCATCGTGGAGAACCGCCCACTGAGCGTGCGCAACTGCAACGCCAACGCCATCCTTGTGGAGGACTTTGTGCGTGGGGAGTACATGGACAACGGCCAGGACTACCCCCCCAAGGACCACGCCATGCGCACCCTGAGGCAAATTCTTCAGGACCTGCAGGAGTCGGGGCGGCCTGTGCAGGAGTACCTCGCCGACGCCAAGCACCGCAACAAGGAAATTAAGGAGATTCCGTGCCATTTGGCATTCAGACAGTTGCCGGATGAGTTGGCGCGGGGTGTCTTTTACTTTGTCGGGGGCAAGTACCGGGCTGCTGCAGGTGCGGACAGAAGAGGGTAACGTGCGGCAGAGGGATATTTATTTATCTGTACGTCTGTTTTGGCGGCGATTATGCGATGCGAGGGAAACGTTACATGAGGGCCCTTTGAAGGGGCGACGTTGACGACTCTCTCGTGCACGCATGCACTTGGGTGTAGCTGGCGTGCTTTCTGTCTCACAGGGCGGGGCATGATGCCACCTCTCTCTGAGGAAACTGAGTGACACAGAGGAGGGCTTCTCGCAAACTCGCGGGTATTATTTGTTTTATTTTTGTTTTTCGTTGCCGTTGTTCACAGTTGTACGCAGAGGTAGCACGCGTGTGCGCGTGGGCAGGCGATAGCTGTGCCACGCCGTTGGTGCCGGTGTGTGTGAGTGAGAGAGAGAGAGAGAGGAGGCAGGGCCGAGGCCGCGTGGAGTGGTGGGAGTCGCAGTAGAGTGTTATCTTCTACGCATGCGCTGCACGGAAAGACGCCCGCTTTTGTCTCGCACGGTTTAATTATGATTATTTTTTCTTCTTCTTCTTCTTTCCCCCCTTCTGCTTCTCACCCGCACGCGTCTCCGCACACACACACACACACACATACGCATACGCATAGAGAGAGAAAGGGCGAGATCTTTTTTTTTTATTTTCGCTTCTTCTTCTTCCTTCGCTTTGCCGCGTGGATGGAGCCAAAGGAGGGGGCCGGGCGTACGCTTGTGAAGCGGCACGCGTTTGGCATCCGCCCCGACGTCTACGGCTGCCTGAGTTGGGTGGAGGAGGGGACGCTGCTGTACCCCGTCGGGAAGACGGTGGCGGTGCACAACCTCAACAGCAACACCCAGCGCTTTTTTGAGACCGGCGTGCACAGCAGCGGCCTGACCGCGCTGGCGGTGAGCGCCAACAAGAAGTTCATCGCCATCGCCGAGGGCGGGCTGACGCCGCAGATCCAAATCATCGACTCGGTCCCGCGGAAGCGGCGCAAGACGCTGAGCGTGCAGGACTTGGGGAGCGACCGCTTCGTGGCGATGGACTTTAGCGTGGACGGGCGGCACCTGGCGACGCAGGGGGGTGGACCGCAGTGGAAGCTCTTCTACTGGAACTGGGAGCGCTCCAAGCCGCTCGCCTCCACCTCCGTGGTCGCCGACTTCAAGCTGGGCGACAGCCACGACTCCGTCCTGCAGGACTCGCACACGAGGGAGCTGCACGGGGCGGCGGCGGCCGCCCCTCCGCCCGTTTCATGCGTGACGATTTGCCCGCAGGACCCACTCCTGATCGCGGTCTCAGGGCTGGGGACGATGCGCTTCTACCGCTACGTGGACGGGGTGCTGCAGACGCAGCCCTCCATCGGCTACGACCTCGAACACGCGTCGAACTTCCTGACGCACGCGTGGGTCACGGGCGACCGTCTCGTGGCCTCCACGCAGACTGGGGAGCTGATGGTTGTTGAGCGCGGCGTGTACAGGCGCCTGCTGCCCGTGCCCCCCTCCACGCGGGCCCAGCTGACGAACCCGACGGTGCTGTCGCTTGTCCCCAGCAAGGCGGGGTTTATCGCCGGCAGCGACCAAGGCACCGTCGCCATTTACCAAAATTGCGGCGGGACAGACTGCGAGTACGCCATTCTCTACAATGTGCCGGTGCCGACGGAGGAGGAGATGCACAGCAAGGCAGATACCGATAATAACAAGGACTCCCTGCCGCCCCTGACGACCGCGGCGGCGGCGGCGGCGGCTCCTGCTGCTGCTGCTGCTGCAGCGGTGGCGGCGGCGGCCGACGCCGGTTCTCCGCGGTCGTCGACGGCAAAAGGCCACAAACCCCTCTTTCAGGTGAACACGGGGGTGACGCAAATAGTTGCCGCCTCCCCGGCGAGGGAGGCGCGCCCCAAGACGGAGCTGCAAGAGGCGGCACGCATAGATCCGCGCCGGGAAAACAGCGTGGTGCGTCTGTCGCTGGACCAACTGGAGGAGACCATGGCATTAGTGACGCACTCAGGTCAAATTCTTGCCTTTAACTTTTCCCAGCCGTGGGGGAAACGCTCGAGCCAGGAACCCCCGACGTTGTTGCCTATTTGTCAGTCGTTTCACGTGGGTGGCATTGTCGGCGTGGACTGCAGCGTGCGACGACCGTTTTTGGTGACCTCCGGCGTAGACAAGAGCGTGCGCATCTGGAACACCAGTACGCATCGACTAGAGATGTGCCAGTACTTCTCCACCTCCCCAGGCCCTGTGAGCATTCACCCCAACGGACTCTACGTGGTGGTCTGCTTCCCGGACAAGGTTCGCGTGATGAGTGTCCTCTGGAACTGCCTCCACGAGCACCGCGTGCTGAACCTTCGCAACGTGTCCGACGTGAAGTTTTCCGTGGGGGGAAAGTACTTTGCCTTGGCGCACGGCAACCTGATCCACCTGTACAACGCACTGACGTGCGACGCCCATGGACAGCTGCGGGGTCACCCGCAAAAGATCAGCGGCTTTCAGTGGGCCGCCACCTCCCCGTACCCCACAGACAACGGCCTCGTCTCCTGCTCCCTCGACGGACTCATCATCAACTGGAGCGTGAGTGAGATGCGCAAGGACGGCGAGCACCCCGACAAACGCTACCAATACCAAGTTATTGCGGCCGATGATAAGACCCTGTGGGCGGTGGGCGACCCGGCCTCCTCGGCGGCGGAGATACAGTGCAAATCGATGCTGCGGGAGATTGACCGCTTCGGCTCCACGGAGGCCCCCAACGCGGCAAATGCGACGGACTACGAGTTCCGCGAGAACGCACTCACAACGCTTCTAGTTTCGCCAAAGCAGCGACTGCTGTTCGGCGGCATGGATGACGGCTCCATTAAGTTTATGAACTTCCCGCTGCAGTTTGGGGTGCAGGAGGTGCCCATCGTGGCGCACATCGGCAAAGTCACCCGCATGGCGCTCTCCTACGACGAGAGCACCATCTACTCCGTCAGCGATGATGGGACGTTGTTTGTCATTGACGTGCGGGAGGACGGCCGCCCCCCGCAGCGGGACACGGGCTACTACGGCGACGAGGTCCTCGTGCTGGCCTCCGACGTGGAGGACCGCCAGATCACCATTGAGAGCCTCACACACACCGCAGCGAAACTCAGGACGGAGATCGAGGGCGAGGAGAAGCGGCGCAGCCACGAGCAAAATACGCGGCTGCGAGAGCGGGCGGAGGAGTTCAAGAATGAAGTGGCCGTCCTCGAGGCGGAGTACGCCGCGCTGTGGAACACCAAGGCGGAGCAGGAGCGCTCCTTCGTCGCGGTGCGGCTCGAGAAGGAGGCGGAGGCCGCCCCGCTGCTGGAGGAGCTCGAGCGGGCAGGGCAGGCGGAGGTGCAGCGGCTGGAGGACGAGTGCACGGAGCTGCAGCACCGGCTGGACGGAAGCAAGAGCAAGTTCGCCCAGGAGGTGATGGAGCTGGAGGCGCAGATGGAGCGGGAGCGGCGCGAGGACGAGGAGCGCTTCAACGACGTCGTCGCAAAGCGCAAGGAGGGTCTGCAGAAACTGAAACGCCAGGTGCAACGTGCGAAGGAGACAAACGTGGAGTCGCGGCGGCGCCTCGAGCTCGACACGGATGCGGAGCTGGAGGGCATTCGGGATCGCAACCGGCGCGATCTTGAGGCCATTCGCGAGCAGTACCTGCGCATGAAGGGGGAGAGCGCCATCATGCGCAAGAACGCCCTGCGCATGGAGAAGGAGGCGGAGGTGCACAACAACGAGCTGAGTGTGCTAGAGAGCGCCAAGACGGCGCTGATGGCGCAGCTGGGGGAGCTGAATCAGCACATGGCGCAGCTGCACCAGGACATCGAGGAGCGCGACGCCGTCATTGGCGAGAAGGAGAAGCGGATTTACGACCTGAAGAAGCAGAACCAGGAGCTCGAAAAGCACAAGTTTGTCCTTGACTACCGCATTCGCCAGCTCAAGTCACAAATGGAGCCGCGGCAGCGGGAGATTGCGCGGGAGCACCAGCGCATAAGCGAGAAGAACGTAGAGCTGGAGAGCCTGCACCAAAACAACATCACCCTGCGGCAGAGCATCGAGGGGCTAAAGGCAGATCTCGCACAGCAGCAGCAGCAGATAAAACAGGCGCTGAACCACATGAAGGACTTTGAGACGTACAAGAGCCGCGTCAAGACGGACGTCGGCGAGCTTGCACCGGCCATGCAGGACCCCGCGCGGCTGCGGGACGTCGTGGAGCGCTTGTACCAGCGGTACGTCGTCGGCCGCGATGGCCACCGCACCGCGCAGGTGGATCCGGAGATTAAGGGGGAGTTTAAGTCGCAGCTGGAGTACCTGAGCACCTCCGTAGAGGCCCTGCGGCGCAAGTGCAAGGCGGACCAGGAGCAGCACCGTACGGAGGTCTCGACGATGATGGTGGAGAACCTCGCGCTAATCCGCGAGATTCACGAACTGCGTGCGGAGCTCGTGGACCTGCGCAACCTCTCCGTGGCGGCCGCGGACGAGGCAAAGCGGCGTGCCCGGCCAGATCAGTCCAAGAAGGGGGCCAACTCCTCCTCCCGCCTTAATGCCGCCTCTAGCAGCCTGCTCGCATCGAAGAAACGACTGGAGCTGCCTAAGGAGCTGGATGAAAACCGCACCGAGATTCGGCAGCTGCGGGCTTTTGTGGAGTCTGCGCAGCAGGCGCTGGCGGCAGCCCGTCGCACGCCAGTCTCCTGCACGTTTCCGCCCATCACACAACAGTAGAAGCTGGGGGCACACCTGCATTTTCCTCTCACGCTTTTTCAAAGAAGCCAAACAACAGCAGTAAAGAGAAACAAGAAGAAAAAAGAAAAAGAAAAAAAAACCACTGTTCCCCCCGGTGTTTATGGGGTGTCGCCGCTTTTTCTGGCGTCCTGTCTCTGAGGTTCATGTATAGAGGGAGGGGGCGGGCGAGTAACGAGAAAACAACAGCAGCAACAGCAACAGCAACAACTAGAAGAAGAACACATGACATCAGTATCATTATATGTATATGTATGCCTTTCTCTTCCTCCCCCTCTCCCACGTGTTTGCGTGTGTGGAGTGGGAGAGACGGAGAGAGGGGCATTCTTGGGAACTACACTACTACTGCCGCCGCCTCGAGGACTTTGCTCTTTGCTTGTGTCTCCCTTGTCGTAATATGTGCTTGCAGACCCTCCCTCCTTTTCACGCGGCTTAAAAAAAATAATCATCAACAAGCAGAACTTTCTTTCTGCTTTTTGTTTGTTTTTCCTTCTGTATTTTCTATGTCTTACTTTTTTCCCCTTTTCTTTCTTCTTTCTTCTTTTTTTTCTACATTCTCTGCTTTCATTTTGTCCGCAAGCAGGTGTGGCTCGCGGCGCATGTTTCACGTTTCGCCTCCCCTGCGTCTCGCATTCCCGGTGCACCGGGACACCACGAAGGTCCCGCGCATGCTGAAGGAGGTGGGCACGTGGCTGTACCAGCAGGAGACCGTCGACGCCTTTCGTCTGTGGTGCAAGGCGAATTACGTGCGGGGGCACAAGAATGTGAAGGTGGTGTCTTCCATGCACTACGCACGGTGTCTGCGGGCCGCGCGGCACTTGCGCCCCGGTCAGGCGATCATCACCTGCCCGCACTCCGCCTGCTTCAACTTCCTGGTCGTCGCGAGGGAGATGTACAACCTCAACGGCGCCGCCGCCACACACAACTTCCCACTGGAGGTGAACTGGATGAACTACGACGAGCGCTGCAAGTTTCTACGCGGGGCCTCCATGGCGGAGTTGGTCACCGCCGGCTGGATGTGCCGCATCGCCTCGCTGGAGGAGAGCAGCTTCACGCCGTACGTACGATGGCTGCTGGAAGACACACGGGGGCGAGACGGCATCGCAAACGGCATGTCGAAGGAGCGCGGCGAGGAGAGCGGGTTGGTGGACCACTACCTCTCTGAAATGGCCACCGACGCCTGCGAGGACCCGGAGGTATTCCTGGAGAACCTCTTCCGCAGCTTTGCCGCGCTGCACCTTCGCGCCGTGCCCATTGAGGCCGCGGCTATCCGCCTCTTTATTCCCGGCACAAACTTCTTCAAGACGAAGGCCGACGACATGTTTGTCCCCACTCTCATCCCGCTTGTGGATGCCGTGCCGCAGATGGAGGATGACACCCACAACACCGTCGTGGAGTACTTTCCCTACGACGGGCGGTGCCCGGGGGCACTGGCGCAGCAGTGCCGCGAGCTGTTTCTTTCCGAGGAGGAGGGGCGGGCGATGGAGGCGCAGCTCTCGCAAGGGACGGGGGACCGCGGCTTCTTTGCGTTGCGTGCGTTGTGCCCAATTGACGAGGGCGATCACTTGTACCTGCGCGGGGTGCCGAAGTTGGGCGACGCGGCGAAAGAGTCGATGACGGTGAAAGTCATGGAGGCCAACCGACTCATGAATAACGACTGAGCGGTGCGGGCGGTTGTTCAGTCATCCCTTCGCTGGGCTCCTGGCTTCCTTCCTGCGCGGGAGGGGGAGGGGATTGCCCCGCACGCATGCACCGGTGCCACAGTTCTACATCTATAGCCTTCCCTCCCTTCCTCTTGCCGCCTGCGTGTGGCGCGCGCCTTCGCACCGTGCCTTTTTCCCCCAATTCATTTTCTCTTGTTCTTGTTCTTGTTCTTGTTGCTGTTGCTGTTGTTGTTGTTGTTTATTTGCGCCGTCCCGTCGCCTTTCCCCCCCTCTCTCTTTGTGCAACACATGGCCTCTCTCTGCGTGTTTGTCTGTGTCTGTGTGTGCGTGTGCCCCCGGCGCACGTAGCCGAAGAAAGAGAGACGAGGCCAATAAGGAGAATTCAAAGACATCCAAACAAACAAACAAACACACACACACACACACCTACACGCCATGGCGACGTGGGTCAAGTACCAGGCAAACATATACCGCTATGGTCTCATCTTTTGCTGCTTGTCGGCGGCGTTGGCGATGGTTGTGGACGGCGGCGGCGCAAAGGCGCAGTGGGATTGGATGACGGATCGCTACGACCGACAGAAGGCAGCCAAGCGCCTGGACTGACACGCGCACCGGTGGTGACGGTCCCTCGGCGTGTGCATCTGCGCGGGAGGGCGGCCCACGGCTGGCTGGAGCGTTTATGTGCGGTTCCGGTGTGTTTGACGCGCCCCACGGGGTTAAAGCAAATGCCGGCGAAGACGATAACGGTGGCGAGCGCCGCACATTGAGGGCGGAGCAACGGCCGTGACAAAATGAATTCCCCCATTCCTAAAGAGATTAAAAAAAAGACAAAAAAGACAAGCAAAAGAGAGATGATGATGTATGTGTGTATGCAGGAACAGCAGGAGTGAAGCACGCCGTGCGAAGTTCCCTCCCAAGTGGCCAGCCAGCGGGGCTTTGGGGAGTAAACAGTGTGGGGGGTTGACGCGGCTCGCCCTTCTCCCTTCGTTTGTGCGGTCCCCTCTCACTTGTTAGCTGCACGGCCCGCGCAGTCGGTGGTTCCTCTTGCATTGGGGCCCTCTTTGGATTTTTCTCTTGTTTCCGCTGGAGTTTTTGTTTCTCTCCTCCCACCCTTTTTAAAAAAATATTTATCCTGCTGCTTCACCCACAGAGGCCGTAGGGTCGCCGCAAGGGAAGCCGGCGAGCCGCGCCACACACCGTCGCCAGGGAACGGCAGGCGGGGACCGCGTGACAAGGCACTAAGCGAAGGCGGCGGATAGG